TTGTCGCGCGAGGAGGTGTGGCATGTGCAGTTACAGCGGAGGTCGCAGGTTCGTCGCACGAGGAGTTGCGGCAGGTGTTCATAAGTTTGTCGCAGGAGTTGCGGCAAATGCAGTTGCTACAGGCGGTGGTTCATGGACGCAGCAAGCACGTTGACACTCGATTTTACTTTATTCGCGAGTGTGTCGAGAATTGACAGATCATCGTGAAGTTCGTAAGCACCGGAGAGCAGTGTACGGATATTCTCACCAAGGCTCTAGTAAGAGTCAAATTCGCGAAAATGCGAGAGTTGTTTGGCGTAAACAATTTCGAACCAAATCAAGCTTATGGGGGAGATCTTATTGGTTCTAGTCATTGTCTACTCATAAATGCATTTAAAAAAAATTACTAGTACAGTTCAAAGACTTTTGCATGATAGCGAAGAAATAAGATGCGTTCTATATCTTACTCTCAAACTTCCCTTTCTACATCTAAGGGGCTTGGTTTGCCGCATTTTCATGTTCAATACTATTCCCCAAATGAATGTAATATAAAGGTACTAAATTTCGTATGATTTCATGTAGAATCACCATCATCACAAAGTTCCCAGATTTGGAAGAAGTTGCAACCCAATGCCATCCCAAGGCATTGAGGGAAGTCTTCTTTATGGACTATATGAGTGTAATTTTCATTATTTTATGCTCTTTGAATTAATGCTTATTGAAAGCATTTTTGGGTCTATAGGTTTGTTGCATCTTTAATCTTCCTAAAGAAACCAAAATTAATCATATTATCATTAATTATGAGTGGAATCTTCCATACCCTACTAACTCAGCCAAAAGCTCATGTTAATCTCATTTCAATATCTATTTTGAGAGCTACCCGAGTAAAAAAAACATTTCTTTTGGTAGCTTCCTTCCTTATTTTTGAATACTGTGTTAAATTTAATACAACTCTTATTATTTTCAATAAACTTTAAAAGAATGTATTGCTATATTTTCTCACAATATAACTTGTACAGAAGTTGAAAACGCCTGCTGAAGAAAATAACTTATCGACGATATGGGTGGCATGCAAGGGAAATATTTTGACGTATAGCCTTGTAGTTCTAGAAATGTTTAAAAGCAGAATATCTAGAACACCGGCACACCACTCAAAAACTTTGCATAATGATAAAATAGGAACAGAGAATCAAATAAATTTCTTAAAAGACATTTCTCATAAAATCCATTTTAGAAATGTTCGAAACCATTCAACAAACATTGAAATATATATATATATATATATATAAACAGTAGTCTAGCTTTCATATTTGTCATAAATACCAATAGATATCTCAGCTACTACTGCTGCTACTTTAATTTTTCGACTTCCAATACTTCTCAATCTCCTCAGCTGTTCTTCCTGGGATTCTCCCAGCAATCAAAGACCACCTGACAAATATTCAAACAAGCAAACCAAAAAAAAAATAAATTAAATTTTATGCTGTAATTAGATAGAAAATGGCCTACAGACCTCTCTCCAACAAGTTTATACATCCTTGAAATGAGATTCACTTCTTGCTCTGAGAACTCAGGCTTGGAACACTGACTGTTCTTTTCTGCACCAAAACATTAGACAAAAAAAACAAGCAAATTTAGGGCAAATGTATTGAAAACATTTTTTCCTTTCCTCCTGCAGACAAGCAAGTGAATCAAATTAGCACCTATGGAGTAAACATGATCCTCATTTTGTATCTTATCCATGGCAACTAGTCTAAAATCATGATAAGTTCTGGATGCTCTGCGAAAATTATGAATGTCTTAAGGTACATTTATATTGAAGAAGATATAAATATCTGGCTTGATAAGGATAAGAGAAGGACAACTGTATGGCCCAAAAGCGATTACTTGCTCGATGTTAATTTTTTTATTACGAAGAGATGGTTTGTGCCAATGATTATTAAGAGATTAAGAGGTAGACAAGTTATTGTTAATAAGTAAACAATCATTATATTATGCTGGTTTATGAAGATTAATGCTAATTGGACAAGATTATAGAAATTACAAATCGACAAGATTTATTTTTATTTATTTGTTGGACAAGATTATATTTTTCTCTGTAGAATTAAATTACGTTAAGTGGCTTAATCACATGCTCCAATTCTGAGAAAAATATCTATATACTAATATTAAGCAGTTGGACAAGATTATATTTTTTTCTGTAGAATTAAATTACGTAAGTGGCTTAATCACATGCTGTAATTCTGAGAAAAATATCTATATACTAATATTAAGCAATAATTTAAAAAAAATTGTGGACATCACAAATATGTCTACGTGAATCTCAAGAAAAAATAGTTGGAGCCTTGGAGATATAAAGAACATAGATTATTCATGCTAACAATAGGGGGGTCTCATGAAATGTTCGAATGAAACGAACGAATGACTTGATGAGCATCGTGCATCTATATCGATCACCGACTATTCGGTAATACTATCATAAAAAATAGCGGTCACTTGAAATAAGACATTTCAACAAAGATACAAGATCTGAGAGTAGGCTGCTTATCAGATTATGGTGATTTACCCTCTGCATTATAAAATAACACTATCCTAGGACGATGTGTCTTCATATTCATACTCCACAGACTGAAGAGATATAAATCCAGCTGAAAGATGAAGGGTTAGCTGAATTAATAAAAGTCGACCGAATGTAATTAAAAAATCTAAACTAAACAAGTAATAGAAGTATAGCGGCGCAGGCATCAGTTATGAGGTCGAAATAAATATTATCTAGTTAAAAATGTATAATGTAAAAGCTAATTAACTATAGTAGTGTTCATCTCTTTAATAAGGAACCATTATGTAACTTACAAATCTTACTTATGACTAAAAGAAGTATAATTTTCAAGAGAGGCAAGACATAATTCTCACTTAAAAACAAGTATCAACCATTTAAATCTTTAATCTTTCTTCTTTTTATCCGATTAATGCTCTATACCTTTGGCGTGACCGAGTAATTTGGGATCCGACATTTTAAAAGGTGCGGTGCGCTTGGAGCCATGCTGTTTACAAGGCGAGGTGTACGACGGAGTGAAGGAATACACCAAGAAGAGACCTTCTAACATAGATTCCTTCTGAGAATTCGTACAACAACAAATCTAGGCGCTCCATGACCGGATGGCCATGCAAATTGCAAAGTTGGTAGGAATGGTACTTGAGGGAAGGGCACGACCTCACCGCAAATCTATCCATCAACACCCCATCCATCAGTTCAACAAGCGGTCCTAGCACCCAAACCTCCAGTTCAACAAGCAACACCAGCAGTTGAACGAGAAGAAAAGTTCCATTATCAGAAAAATGTCAGGTCCGCACAAATGGGAGGACCACCACCTATTGCCACATGGAGAATGCATTCGCTCAATATATTCTCGAGGCTAAACTGCTAGAAATGTTCAAGGTTCCCACCTTGGAACCTTACAAAGGTCAAAGTGATTCCTCTGACTACATTGTGTCCATTGTGTCAATAATCTGCCTTCTAGAAATTTCATACGCATTAGTGTCTACTGTTCTACACCATGCAAAAAGATAATGCTCTCAGGTGGTTCAATGGGCTTCCCGTAGGAATTATTAATTCCTTCCAAGAGTATAATTAGAAGTTATTTTTGGGACAGTTTCTTAGTGTCCAATGGCCACAAAAGTATTTAGATTCTTTGTGGTACATGAAACAGGGACTGAACGAGAGTCTACAGTCATATGTAATGAGATTTTAGAAGGAGAAGCTTGAGGTCTGGAACTTGGAACCAGTAGTCGCCAAGGAAGCACCAACACAAGGATTGAAGAGTCCACAATTCTGGTACTTTATGGGTTTAAGGAAACCCGACATGTTGTTGTATCTTCTGGAGCTAGCCAACGACCACATTACGACTAAAGAATATATGAACCAACTGATTTCTAGAGTGGGAAAATTGGATAAAAAATCAGACAGGAAAAAAAATAAGGGTGACAATTGGAGAGAGAAAGATGGCCCCCGTTTGAAAAATGGAAAGAGGCAATTCTTCCGAAGGAGATATAAAGGATGATCATGACGTATGCAAACATAGTCAGTCAAATTACTAGACTACAAGATATTGGAGGGCATCCACCTTCACACCATTATGATCTTTTATGGAAAAACTCATTGAAATGATAGAAGATGGAGTATTTTTGGAAGGTGACTCCACTGCAAACTAGAGCTTCCCTTCGGAACCCCAACAAACATTGTAATTATCACCGAGACCATATACATGATACTGAAGAATGCAGGAAGCTCCGCAGCCTGGTAAAGGAGCTTATACAGGCAGAAAAGCTCAAGCAATTTGTAATGCCGGAGGCTCCGAATCGGCGGAAAGGTGAAGCTTCAATGAAAAGCAAGTTGACCGGGCCAACTTGAGCCAGCCCAATCCACATAGCAGGGAGAGTACTAAGAATATGAGGAGGTGACACACAACCAAGGCCAACAAGAAAAGAACTTAGTTGGGAGACTAATGCGCTTTCATACCTGCTCAAAAAAGAAAATCACATCCAACCATCATTTTTATTAACACTTTTCTTCCTCTACCTGGGAATCTTTACAATGATGTCATTGTTATCACAATACTCATCAGTAACTACCAAGTTGGCAGCATCCTGGTCGACATCGGGAGCTTGAGGAACATTTATTCTGATCTATGTACGAGAAGATGAGACTGACAACTGATCGATTGATTGCACCAATCGAACCACTATACTGTTTCTCTGGCAAACGGAAGGATGCACTATGGGTAATAGCCCTCTTTGTAAGTTGGGGAGAGGACGATAATCAACTTACCAATATGGAGGATTTTTTGGTAATTAAAGCATCACCAACCTACGATGCAATATTCGGTCGACCCCTCCTCAACAACTTCCGAGTCTTGGTGACAACATATCATGTAGCTGTGAAATTCCTCTATGAAGGAGTGATGGTCACCGTGCGTAGAGATCTGGAGCAATCTCGAACGTACTACTTGAGAGTTGTAGGAAGTATGGAGCATGAAGCATTGGAAAAACAACACCAACGAGAAGGAGTTCTCAAAACTAATGAAACTATTACCAAAATCCCAACAAGCAAAGAGTATCATGATAAATATTTTTAAATCAGTAAAAATTTTGATGTAGGACATAAAGATGTGTCGGTCCAGATTCTCCAAAAGCATCGTAATGTTTTTGCATGGCCGGAGGCTAAAATGCCTGACATTCTCATTGATATTATTTATGATAGATTCAATGTCTCGTCGAATGTCGGGATAGTGAAGCAGAAAATTTGGTCAGCTCCAATAACCTTAGCCGAATCAATTTGCAAGGAAGTGAAGAAATTTTTTGATGTTGGATATATACGAGAAGTTCAATACCCATTATGATTATCTAACGTAGTAATGGTGAAAAATACAATGGCAAATGAAAAATGTGTGTAGACTTCACAAATTTGAACACCACATACCCAAAAGATGGGTACCCATTGCATCGGATTTACCCTCTAGTGGACTCTGCAGTCAGATACTCTGTCATAAGCTTTCTTTAAAATTCCTTAAGATATCATCAGATTAAAATGCACCCTGTGGATTTAAAGAATATAGCTTTTATTACTTGCAATGATTTGTATTGTTTCACTGTAATGTCCTTAGGGCTGAAAAATGTTGGTACAACTTATCATCGCCTCATGGATGTAGTTTTTCCTAAACTAAAAGTAAGAAACATTGTAGTCTACGAGGATGATTTTCTACTAAAAAGTAAGTCAATTGAACCACATCTAAATGAACAAAAAGAATCTTTCTAAACACTTAGAAAGTTAAATATGAAATTGAACCCATTAAAATGCATGTTTGAAGACTCAATGGCGAAATTCTTTGGCTATCTCTTATCAATTAAAGGCTTCAAAGTTAATCCCTAGAATGTTAGAGCACTTTTCAACATGCTTTCTCTTCTGAACATTAAGGAAGTGGAAAAGTTCACTGGCCGAATTGTAGCTTTATATCAATTTATTTTTACATTAGGTGACAAATGTGTTGACTTCTTCAATGTACTGAGGAAAACAAACAAGTTTGTGTGAACGAATGAATGAGAGCATGCTTTCTAGAATTTGAAGCAGTCCTTCATCATTCCACCACTACTGTAAAGCCTGAAGCCTAAAGTAGAACTTTCACACTACTTAGGTGTGGGCCTGAGCGTGATATCCCAAGTGCGTAGCCGCTACACACATGCGCTTTGAGTCTCTCGATAAATAAGGGTCAAAAGTTCTCGTTAAGCCATTGAGTAGAGAGTGAGTCTCTCACATCCCAAGTGCGTAGCAGTTCATCAGCATATAAAGCACATGAAAAAGTTAAAATCATCTTCAAGGGAATATCCTAATATGTCAAAAAATGTCCAGACCATAAGGATAGAGAACAATTTGTCATATCTCAAATGGGCGGCAACTCATCTGCATTGAGTCGTGATGATACCAACAAAGTCAAGGAGCGATAGGACTCATAGGGGCTCAACAATAGGAAGGTAGTGCATTGAGTCGTCAAGATGATACCAACAAAGTCAAGGAGTGATAGGACTCATAGGGGCTCAACAATAGGAAGGTAGAGTATTCCTAAATGGTAGAGGGTACCCAGGTAAGGGTACCACAGACCCAACATCCTAAGCTACTAGAACCCTAAGTCTACCCAGTTATGAAGGTAGTCGATCCAACACATCCAGATATCCCCGTATGGTAGAGGGTACCCAGATAAGGGTACCACAGACCAAACAT